TATTCCTTTCCTCGAATTCGTGTCGAGCAGAATAATCCAAGCTTAACAGTTTGTCAGACTGAACCGATTATAACGTAACAGTGGAAATTTGTAGGTGAAGGTGTGTTCTAATCGCGAGGGTGTTGCGTGAATTTCCATCCATCCAGAAATAGCGATCACAGTCGGTTTTCAGGGGCGTCCGCGAAAAACAGGAAGATGAGCATCTGTTTTATATCGAACGCGGCGAGTGGCGTGATTGTTATCGGTGGAAATATAATTCGCGGCGAATCAATACCGTCCCATCATTCGGCTGTGTCTTTCCTATTACGCGTCAGTTTCTGTTCCGCCATGTCCCGGCAGCCGTCGCGGACAATGAAGATGATTCATTTTCGACGCGTTTCAAACGGCCCGCGTCGACAATGATCGCCGCCGATAATAACGACACTCAAGTAATGCGCTGCATTCGTTGCTTATTTCGACATATTTGTCGAACGCCAGCGCGCCGCTCTTGTTATTTGTATACCAACCCTGAACACGCCGTTCGAACGGGCACCGCCATTGATCGGCGGTCTTCATTGCGGATTGAATTGGGTGGTTCGATGTCCGTAATCCTATTCGTGAAGCTGTTCGCGGTTGCCGGTAGTTTCTTCGTGGGATAAACTGTGTATTCATCAGCCTGTTCGCAATATTTTCCAATAGCGTTATGGTAAGTTAACATAAGCGGATCAAAGAATATTTGTCAATACCGTTCTTCGAATAACCTCACAATCACCGGGAACAAACAACGATCAGCATTACATGGAATGTCATTTACCAATTAATAATTTTATCACTCTATCAGTTCACGATTAAATCAGAGATCAGAAACCTAACAAGCCACTTGTCAATTTTTCAAGAATGAAAAGTATTAGAACTTTGTTCAACTCAGTTTAAAAGAAAAAAATCGACGATGAAAGCCGAAGAACATATCCATCCTACTTCACAGTGTTTCAATCATCATCGTCATCCGAAAAAAATCGCTCACTGGTGCATAGTTACTGTTATACCGTTGGAAAACGGGAGGAATCGTGAACCAGACGGTTGGCTCGATAAACGATTCCGTCGCCGGGTCTGCGATCGGCGCGCCGTGGGATCGAAACATTTCGTACACAGAAAAGTGTCCCGTGGCCCGTAAGGTGTACGAGCCGCGGAATTAACGTCGTTACGTTTTACGGGTGCCTCGTCTGCAGAAACTGATTCGTTGTAAGGAGAAAAACGAGCGGGGACAGCACGTAACACGACGAAACATCGTCGCGCGCGGCGTTTTCACGATCACCAGGGAGGGAGAAAACCGTTTCTACGGGAAATAGGGGTGCGAAACGTGGCCGGTCGCGGGGGTGAGCGACGCTACGGGGGGAACGGCGGAGGGGAGAAGACGGAAGCGACGGAGGGAGGCAAATAGAGCTTTTCGAAGACCTTTGTCAGCGTTTAGTACTCAGACGACCGTAAGAATTTTCCGCGAGCCAGCCGCGATGCGCCGCACGGTTTAATGGCTATGCACATGTTTTCCGAGAGCCTGAGTTTTTCCCGTAAATTCCCGCGCGTGTTGCCGCGGGAACATTCGTCGACATTAATTCGCTGCTGGGGCGTACCCCGTGACCCTCCCGAATAGTTGGACGCGTTTCGAATAAATTTTTGTCGGATACGGTTTATCTGTCTCCTTTTATCTGCCGCGGCAAGACTACATGCGTGTGAATCGTTGTAACGAAACGCGAAATAATTCACGGGTCCGGACGTTATCGTATTTTATCGAATTCAGCGGTGGATTTCTCTACTGCTTTTCTATACAGTGTTGCCGCATATATCATTAGTCGATGATAGTTCGTTTTTCGCGACGACGGGATGGTCTGCTAGCCCCAGTCTTCTTCGATGATAATTCTTCTCAAATTCAACGTTTCTATTCGTTCCTAACAGCACTTTATCGCTGCGTTTTTCTAGGAGATCGCTGACATCTTCGCATTTCAAATTCATTTCTCGAAGATTCTCGTACACGATGGGTACATAATTATTTGTTCCACCTTCGATCGGACGTCTGCGGAAGCTCCGGAAGCTACAATGGAACAAAGACTACCGCTTCTACCTCGCGCAGGGGGTGATTTCGTGAATCCGCAATAATCAACGTTCGTCCGGCGAGCGACAGAATTTCGGCATCACCTGACGCTGTCGCGGAGCGTGCGACCGACCCACACGGCGAATCGAGATTCCCGATCGGGGATCGATAACCGAAAGCAGAAGATGACGCAAGCGTCGACGAGGCGAGTCGAGGGAGTGATTCGTATTCGGACGTCGAGCGGAGTCGCCATCGCGCCGAGATCGGTTCTCGCGTTTCGAAATCCGGCGGGCCGCGCGCGGCCGGAAAATTCCATGGGAAAAATGTCCGCTGGCCCCGGCGTCCTTTAATTTGCATCTACTTGCGGGCTTAATGATCGGAGACGCGCCTTGTTCCGCGGAGTCGGCGCGGGCACCTGTGGGGCCGGCCGCGTAATGAAATTCGAGGGGAAAATCAGCGTGAACGGGCCGCGACGGTTCGAACGTGACGCGGCCAGTCCCATCATTTTATGCAAATAAAACCGGAGAACGCTTGATTTCCCTTGGTGTTCGGCGCCGGCTACGACGACGACATCCTCCGCGGCGGGCACGAGCACGACGCTGACCAGAAACGTGGCCGCGCTCGGCTTGTTGTCGGATTATTCTCTAATGGGAACAGATACATGGACAACCCGTGGAAAAAAGAGTAAACAACGAATTCGGAAAATGTCGAACTCACTTCTGCCGCTTCGTTCGCGGTTAGATTGCTTTTCTATGGTGGAATTCGCGGAATGGTTCGTAGAATTACGCGTCGTTGGACTCGGTTAGTTTAATCGGTCTCTAAACGCTGGATGTTCCAGTGGATTGTTCTTCGGCAATTTTTATTTAAACATATAACTTTTATTTGTTCCTTCAAGGCGAACAAATCCGATTGGTCTATGTAGGAAGTTGTCGAAGGTTGTCGAGCAGTTGGAAACAGGTATACTTTTCATTTTGTAGGATGAGCGTAATTACGGTTGTCTAAGCGACTGAACCGGATAAACTGATTAGATTGTGGTTTAGTGGGGAATTCGATGTTTTGAAATGTTTCCTTAATTGGTCGTTACGGTGGACTAGCTAGGATTCGTGTTTCTTCGCAACGTACACCACGGTTTACGCGTTCGTTACAATGTAAGGAAATAATAAGTGTTACATTGCCCCGGTGATTTACATAATTTCTAAATAACTATTCGCTCTCGTTCTACATTGCTGATGCGTTACGGCGTTTGCCGGTCACTTACGAAACGGAGAACGTTTGTTCTCGGGTTTACGCGACCTTCGAAATCGTTAGAAATCGATGACTAATCTCGATACTATTCATTTTTTCATTCTTGTGAAATATGAAGCATTCCATGCGTGCTCGAAGTTAGAAAACTGATTTCAAGAGTACATCTTTATTTTCCCCGAGAAATACGTTTATATGTCTCTTGTTTTCAAAATCACTCGAAAGAGAAAAACGCGCGAAGCTCTTCAGGAACCTTTCGAAAACTCATCAAACGAAGGTTAGAATTTCATATGCCCGTATCCCTTGGTGTTGGGCAACAACAATCAACAAAAAACTGTGTACCAAGTAAAATCAACAGCTACCGAGGAGCAAAAATTTCCTGCCATTTTATCGCGTTATTTGCCCGCCGCGATGTGTACCGAATGCACGGGCCCATATCAAACTTAAAACCAACAATAAGCCACGAATTAAGCGAACACGCAACTCATGTAGCTCGCCATAATTTCTTTTACAAAAGGAAAACTAGAAAAAAAACACGACAAATGAAAAAGAGAGAACGGAATTACAAAAAACTGGAGAGTAGAGTGGAAAAAAAAGGACGGAAAAACCGCCAGCCGTGCCACGAGAATACCTCGTTTCCCATTTTTCCCGCGATTTCAAGCGCGAAACCATCCGGCGGCGCCACAATTTTCACCGCACTCCGTACTTTCATACGGAAACAGTGGTCGCACTTAACCAGTCCGTATCGATTCCCGCGGGACCATGGTAGGCACGTGTCGGGGAATACGTGTTTACACCGTCCTGGGACTCGCTTCACGCCGTTTCAACCGTTGCCTTCCGCATTTGCCACGCGTTCTCCGATCGCTTTACACCTGTTCCGCCTCTCTTTCTCATCTTCCGCTGATTCGCGGGCCAGCCTCCCTGTTTTTGCTCTTCGTAAACGAGAATGTCTCCATTAAGATAATGAACCAATATCAATACACCGGGAAAGAGGAATCGATCCCCGATTTACTACCGGAGACTTTTGAAATCAAGCATGCTATATAAGTAGCAGAAGGACCCCGATGAACCAGCTTGCGGTTATCCGCAGCCACTATCATCCGACACCTTGTTCATCCTGTATAGACTCTATAATGCATCTCAAACTGAAATTTGGCACTTATGCGACTTGAGTGATCTACCAATTATTTTTCTCCAAACCTTTCGTCATCCGTTTCACACCCCTTATTTACGGAAATTCGTTCAATCTTCGTTCGCCTAGTTCTAATTCGAAGTACCTCTAAATTCACTGTTCGTGAATGTTAACACGTTGAGCGCGATGTCAGTTCCTGGGGATTGACAGTAAACTTTTCGTTTGAGCGACGTCGGTGTGTAAAAGCGGCAGTGACCTTCTCATAGCCTGAATTTACATTATATAATTATCTCGGGATTACCGTTCTCTGTCGCCTGGACGAAAAGCAAAAGAAAATCGGCTGTGCGCTCAACGCATTAACGATCCCCGTAATTCGAGATCGTCCTTTGCTATTACTACCTGCCGATACATCGACTTCTGGTCCCGTTCATCGATCCGGTTGATCGGGACTCCGCCGTTCCAGAGTACACTAACCGAGTCACTGGGTCCAGCTATCGGGTTGCCGCGTTTCGGGCACGAAGGAACGTCGAGATGCTTAGTGCACCGTTGGTTACTCACCGAGAACACTCAGCAGAACGTAAACGAAGCACACGGGTACACTCGGTGACCGCATTTTCCCGCAATCCTCGGCGGCGCGCGCTGTCCACCGAGCAACCGGCGGTTATGGGGACGAGGGACGATCGTGGAGAACCGCGAGAGAGAGACGGCCGAAGAGGGCAACGCACATCGGCCGATCGGCGTACTCGACGTGCCGAAGTCCACGCGGAAACTGGCGGTTTCCGATGGCACGCCGCCGCTAGTATTCCCAACGCTTGGACCAGGAACGGGCACCGTGCACACGTTCGTGTCGACTTTTGCTTTTGCCACGGTTTGCCCGTGGCACACCACACTTCGCTACCGGCGGCGGCGACGGCTCCCTTCGCCGTGGTGGGAAGAAGGAAAGGAAGCGGCGGCGGGTGGAGGCCGGCGCGCTCTTACATCCGACCGAGCTCTCAGACCCGTGACCGCCTCCGAGCAGATCGCTCCCATGCTCCGTCGTCCTTTTAGGCTCGATACACGCTGCGGTCAAGACTACGTGGAGGTTTTACTTGCGGTGCATAGTGCGGTCGAACGACCGTTTTCTCGGCAAGATTGGATAACCTAAAAACTTATGAGTGATACAGAAAAACTGGAATGAAAATCATTTTCTATAGGAGGAACTATTTAGCTACACATTGGTACCTTTAACTTTCGTTGTGCGAACAGTCGAGATTGAGGGTTTTGTCCACAGGCGGCCGTTTTCTGGACTAAATTTGATAACTTAAAAACGTATGAGTGATACAGAAAAGGTGGAATGTAAATTATTTTGTATTGCAGAAGCTATTTAGCACATTGGTAATCTTCGATTCTCGTTATGCGAATTCTCGAATTTTCGGGTTTTGTCCACAGGCGACCTAATTGTGGTATCGTATGTCGGGGCTGGAAACGGCTATCGGTTCCGGTTCTTGAGACAGTTGTGAAGACTTGAAATAAAGTCGTAATTGTTAGATGGGTCGGTTCTGTAACTGTTATTTGTTGGTTGTAAAAGAAACGCTGAACCCAAATGCAGAAGTGAAATGCAGTTACTTCGGAACAATCACCGCTGCAACACGTTCTTCGGGAGTTTTACAAAGAGTTTGAGGCTGGATTCGGTTCTTCAACCTTGGCACATTTACTGCGTATTGAGAATTACCTGTTTTCGTCCGGCTATTTTGGCCGAGTACTGAAATTAGTGCTGAATGATTGTTGATGGTTATTCGTTAGTAATAAAGTGAAACGCCGACGGACTACGGTCTGATTCTGTTCTGATTCAGAAATTGAGAATGATGCTTTGTAATAATGTTTATACTAGCTTTCAAGCTAGCTACCTTGATCGTTTCATGATTCTATGATTGACTCTTTACCGACAAAGAGAATTATACTTGATTTCAATGTCCTAATTTTCATTTACAATATCTATTGCGCAATTCTTGTACAGTATGTGATCCAGATACGATTGCACAAACAGAGTTTCCGAGAAATTTCATTCTGAAACCAAAGTATCAAACTGTCAACTTGAAAAATAACGATAATTGTAACAATTCTCTAAAAAATTGTCACGGGAAACGATTCTATACTTTCCTATTTTCTTCCTGTGCCGTTAGTTACACTTCTCGTGCCATTGGTTACGTACTGGCTTGTATATCGATTCTATTTTACGATTAGGTAGCTATTCGAGACATTTTATAATAGGCTTTGACTACTAGTACAATGATCGGGGTATTGCAAGTAATCTTAGGTGCTTTAGGAAAAATTTTTCACGGCGATGAAAAGCATCGTCTTAAATACACGTCGGGGAATATATGTTTACAGCGTGCTGGGACTCGCTTCGCGTTTCCATCGTCCCTTGTCCCCTTGACATCTGTCTCCGAGGTCGTTTCCAGGAAGTTCAACAGAATTTATAGTTACTGCCCGTGGACAAGATATAGCGAAGTCGTAAAAATTTTTTCGGCGATCGTAGCGACGCTTTTTACACTCCGGTAAAATCTTGTTGGCGGATATTTTATATCGGAAGGTTTCGGAGTCAACGCACTTCCTTGAGGAAACTCGACTCAAATTCGGATTCATTGGTTTCATTGGAGAACGTTTCTAACCTTTTGCCTGACGATTTGTTTCTTAGCTATGATCAATTTCTGATTTGCTGCTTTTGCAATTATTAAAAAGATGACGGATGTTTCTCTGAGAAATTACTCAGGAAATTGATTTAGTAATACGCAAACTGAATTTTCAATCATTTAAAGTTTTAATAGATGCACTCTTGGAATTTTTATAAAGAAATTTCATAGTCTTTTGCTCAACTGCTCGGTAGTTTTAGTGTTAACGATTTATCGAATAAAGAGGAAAATGCTGGGCATATATTTCCACGTTAGCTCTAAAGTACAATAATTGATAAGAGAAGAATATCTGATTTGGATTCATAAGAATCGAATGATATTCGTGCTTATTAAATTCCGTTGAAAATCTTCAAGTTTGACACGTCATTATAAGACAAGGGATTAAAATGAACTTGTTTGATGTTTGGCGACGGTGTTTACAGGTTTCGAATGAATATAGCAAGATATTATATAAAATAACAATAAATAGATCAAAGTATGGAATATAGCTACGTGTATTAATATCATATTATTATTTAAACATAAAACGCTCTTTGCTCTTCATCCAAATTAATCATTCAGTAGTTCATTAATTTTAGGTTAGATCTAGGTCAGACCTGGGTAACCTATCGAACTTTAAAGCGTTAAGAGGACTTAAAAGAAATTTCTGAATTTCCGATGTTTCATTGGTGTTCGTTTTCAATTCGAAGGCTGCCATTTTAAGAAATGATCGTTTAATCGTGGCTCCCACATCGTTCTGCATTCTCCGGCATACATGAGTCACAAGGATCTTTAGTCAGGTACCCGGTGACCTACTTCTCGGTCAGGGCAGTTTGGTTCGTAAATTTGCGGATCGTGTTACAGTTCAGGATCTTTCGTGCATTTTTCGGTAAAATTCTCCTCCCTCGGAGAAACCTTTCCCATTTCTGATCATGCCCAGAATTCTTATGACGACCTGCCCCGTCTCTTTAAAGCTCCATGCAAAACTTCGTACGTGTTCCCACGATTTTTTTTCCTTTGTTTCTCGGTTCAGGTTCTTTTAAGTTTTTTCCTTCAGCGAGATTAAAATGCTGAAATACAAATTCCTCGTTCTTTTTATTTCGTTACAGTAATGTGTTCGCGTGTAACGTTTAAATTATTCGTTTTAATTGGAATCGTTCAGATTTCGATGTTTGTAAAATCTTGCAACGGTATAAAATGTTAGTAAGGTGCAAAGAAATCCGTCGGAATACCCGCGAGAAATGGAATCGAACACTGGCAACTGCTCGCGGCTCTACTGAAGCCTATCTAATGCACTTCCTTTGTTGTTTCCTTTTCGTGACGTAATTTTTCTACTGGTAATAACTTTCAAACGTTGCATAAGTTCAACGAGATCTTGTTTCTGTTCCGACTTTAAGTCGGATCGAAAGTTACATTTTTTCCATATATGTGATACACGAGCTCGATTATCTCATTAGGCACATGGAGATTTATTTTATTCGCTGGAGAATTACTTTGTCTCCTATAATCATAAGTAATGTACATTATATTTTGATATAACTTACTTTATATTACATGTTACTTTCTGTTCTTGTCGACTTGAAAAACTAGACTGCATATGCTTACAGAAATATAAGTCTATATAGCTGAATGTATACGAACTGAAATGCACCACAAACATTATTAGAATATCTAAGATTTTACAAACTTAGAATACATTTGGCGTTTATTGAACTGTTTATTCGATTGAATTTAAGACAAGTGTATATGCAATAATGTACATTTTGAATTTTTCCGAACTGTTCTAACCGAAGCTGTCCTTTTCTTTCCAGGTATGTACCAGTTTCATAAATCACGAAAATCTGTAAGAACTTTGCAGCGCCTTTGAAGTGAGTTGTTCAAAATTTTCTCAATATTTTTTCGATATCAGCGCTTCATGCTTTATCAAACATTCATTTTCAAAAGGTTCTTTATCGACGTTTTCACGACGAGCATACATTACTCCATATTCTAAGCAACGCTAAAATTTCGCTGTTTTACCTTGATATCATCGATACATAAAACCAGTTGAACAACTTGTTCAGCGTCATTCTCTCTGCAATTACATAAATATATATTCGACTACAACGTCGCCATAAAGATGTAGCGCTGTGCCATTACCTTCTAACACAAAATAGCTGAACACATGGCGCCGCACCACCAGCAGCTAATTTCAAATTGGAAACACCGCCGTACGCATTCCCATTCGTGACAGTGTTAAAACCCACCAGTTTCTGTAGACGATTTCTATTGACCAGTTTAAGCTCGTACTACCAGTGTTAAAACGTCGTGTACAGAAGTAGCTACTGAAACAAGTTGTTACCGTGAAAGGGCCATTTCGTTACACGGACGCGCGTCCCGGCGTTAAAACGAGTACAGTAACTCACAACTGTCACGAGTTTTCGAAACACGTCGGATTCGAAAGCGATCCGACCGCTTTCGATAATTTACATAGATTCGTTGTCCCATTATTAACGTAATTGATCGCCGCGTTTCGAGAAACCCAGAGTCGTGCCATTTTTCTATCGAGTAAAGCCTAGAAGACTCGTCGAACAAAAAGGAACGAAGGACTCCGCGACTCTGTTAACGCGCTAAGAAATTCTGCGAACCATATTTCCACGTTTCCGTGTTCGGTCACAGCAGGAGGTGCACTGGCGATGAAAAATTTAGAAGGCTGAACCGTTTGACTTCGTTAATTTAACACGTAATATTAAGTTAACGTTTAATCCGCAAACAAACGGGCTCGAGTGGGGTCCGCACGGCTGCCATTTGCCAGCGACAGCTCATCATCTTTATTCTCGTCGTTGGCGTTAATTCGTTTACCCATTGAGTCACGTCTTGCTGAACGTCATCGCCGACCGAAAAGAGAACTACTAGCATAATTATGATTAATTACACGCTTTTTAATTAAAACCGGTTGTACCCTTCAACCGTCTCTCCTTTCTTTTTTCTTTTTCCTTTTTTCCGTACCTCTCTCTCTCTCTTTCTCTCTTTCTCTTTCTCTCTCTTCCTCCCTCCCTTTCTCCCTTTTTATCTTTTTTATCTTTTTTCTTTCTTTTCACTTCTTTTCGTTGCCTCGCTCATTTATTTACTTATCTGTGCATTAGCGCGGCGGGAAGT